TAATCTTAATTTTAATCTTATTCTTAGTATTATACTTAAAAAAAATCTTTATCTTAATGGTAACCTTAAACTTCATCTCGATCTTCACCTTCATGTAATCTGAGTGTTCATTTTCATATCTTGTCTTCATCTTCGCTTTCATCTTCACCTGCATTTTTATCTTCACCTTCATCTCGCTATCTTATCTTCACCTTACCTTAATCTTTAACTAAATTTTTGGCTTTATTTGTGGATTCATCTTTATCTTTTTCGTTCGGTCTTGCCTTTTTGTCTGCCTTTGCCTTTGTCTACATCCTTTCTCCGGTGGCGGGATCCGAATGCGGGCACCCGTTTTAGAGCAACCGGCTCGCTTTATAAATATGATTTTTTTAAAATACCTCCCAGCAATGATTTATCCACGGAGTTTGCGACCCGGTTGAAAATTGGAACTCATGAAAAAAATATTTTCAAATATTCACTAAGAAAAAGTATCCGGTTCCTTTAAAGCGAGGATGCTTCTATGCAATTGCAGACTGGCTTCCAGATATATAAGACTGATATCGCTAGAATACGTGGAAATGCTTTCTTACTCTTTAGGCACGGAGGGCCTTCGAACTCTCACTGGATGAAGAAAAAACTAAAAAAAAACTGGGCTTTTCAGTGTAAACCATCTTGTTGGTAAACAATATTGTCAAGAGCATGGTATGTTAACCCTTGACAGTAAATGTAGTTTCTTATTTTCACAGGACTAAAGCTGAGTCCGAAGGTATTTATTTACTTTAATCTAACAAAATGTCAAAAAACAGTTAGCGTTTTAGCAGTACTGAATACTGATATAAAAAAAAATTCTGAGCTGTCTCGAAAACTACCAAAATGTCCCGAAAAGTCCTGACAGACCCGAAGTGGTCCCAAAAACTTTCGGAAAAATTCCCGAAATACCGAAAAGTCCCTAACTTCTTAAAACAAACCCCAAATGTAAAACATAAACCGGAAAAAATCGTAAGAAAATATAGAAATGGTTCAGAAAAGTTTCAAAAACACTTCATCAAGTTCGTGAATCCTTAAAATTAAATAAAACAAGAGGCACTTTCTATTCTTTATTTTCCTGAACCCTTAAGTGCTAAAAAAATCTACTAAATACATAAGTTCTCTTGCTTAAGTATTTAGGCATTGTCACATAGCTAAGACCTTAAGACGTTAATTCTGCTTTATATCTTGGTATTAAAATTTCTTCGCACGAGCTAAAATCTAACACCAAACAAATATTAATCCTCACCTCACGACAGCAATCAACAAGACTTAATGAGTTCAACCTACGTCATTCGTTCATTACTTTCTCTAATACATACTTCTTAATGCTTTAGCGCATCTTTCTTAGATTCTTTCTTATGCAAATTTGGCAAAGAGATAATTAATGTGACATTTTAATGAACGAGTTGCGACATAATCGTGACTAATTACTAGATAATAGAATAACAAATAGCTGTGTGGCAGACATTGAATCTATTTAGCAAATATATACCTTAAAAAAATTTTGCAATAAAATCACCTTAATTGTTAAAAGTTAAAAGGCAGCTTATTGGATACACATCTAAGTAGTAGGGTTATATGAATTGCATACTTATTTAGATTTGTGTGAAACAATACAGTAGCGTTGGATGGCTGAGCAAATGATACTGAGAACAATAGATAAACGATGAGAGGAGCTGAGATAGGAAAAAGTAGCCTTAGTGGTAAAAATTCTGTAAACACCAGGTAAAGCCAGGCGATTAAAATGTTTTTCCAACCGATCTGCTCCTCCCAGCGTTCCTAGAAATTCCAGGAGGAGAGCGAACTAAAAGTAATCATGAATTAGTTGAACATCTAATGGATGTCCCTTATCTGGAGAGGGGCATTATACACCCGACCTTTGACGTGGTCTATTGTTCGTGAAATCATGATGGTGGTCAGAGTATCAGTCTGATCCCTCCCATTTTGGATAGAGTCTGGGAGGGGTTGAAAAGTCGAGATTATTAGACGACATGTCTTGACTTTGACCGCAACTTCAAAATATACTTTCTCGATAGGAATGGACATTTGGATATGGTCTGGCGTCTTCTCTAAGAAAAAGTTAGGTCATTTTAGATCCTTTTGAAAGATTAGTTGACAACGCACAGTGTGGAAATTTAACCTTTTTCATGACGAATTCTAATATCTCGAGAACGAGAAAAGCTAGCGGAAAAAATTCAATAGCGTTTTAAGGCTTTTGAAATAGAGAACTCATAAAAAATAGTTTTTCGGATTAAAAAATAATTACTCTGACCTTTAAAATTACCTTCAAAGTTAGAGAATTTTATTTATTTATTTTTTTTTCCTTTTTTGACCTGAAAACAGTATGCAGTGAGCTTTTTAAAAAGTTTTAGTTAACCGTACATTTTTGCTCCTCTTGCGTCAGGGGGTCCATTTGCATGGTCGTAGGAATCGAAAAACGTATTTTGATTTTTTTCTTTTATGAATTCATTACATGCTGTTTTTAGGTAGAAAAGGGCAAAAAAGCAAAATTTTTACTTCTGAAGGTCATTTTGAAGGTAAAAGTAGTTTTTTATTTAATTTGACCTTCAAAAGTAAAATTTTTGATTTTTTATATTTTGTTGGCATAAAAAAAGATACAATGAACCTCTAAATTTTTTGTTAATGCGTTTTTCGGTTCCTGCCACCATGGAAATGGATGCCTTGATGCAATAACAGTAAAAATATGTGTTAAATTTTTTTTTTTAATTCACTGCTTACTGTTTTCAGGTAAAAAAATTAAAAAAAATTAAAATCCCCTAATTTGAAGGTCATTTGAAAGATAATAATTTCTTTATCGAACAAACATATTTGTTATGAATTCTCTATTTCAAAAGCCTTAAATGCTATTGAACTTTTTTCGCTAGCTGTTCTCTTAGAATTTGTAACGAAAAAAGTTCTATTTCCACGGGATGGTTTATGGTTCTATCAGCTTATGAGTCGGCTTATTTAAGTCCTACTGCTGCAATAACGAATATCTTTCGAGAATCTGGATGAAATGGACGTAGACGCAAAATTTGGGGCATCGAGAAAAAGGCCTTTCTTATGCACAGTTCCGCTCTGCTTTGTATCTTTTGCAGACGCCTGAGAGCTCCTAAGTAGTTAGCCTTATTGATGAAAATTAGAATCGTATTAAAAAGCTAGATAAGTCAGAAAACTTAATTTTTTTTCTGCTTAGAAAGCAAAAGTAGCATCTTGAGTTTTCTTTAAGTGGCGGTAGTGAGCTAACGTACACAAAGTCCAATATGCATACAAAGACGAATACAAACACGAATGCGATTGCGAAGATCAAACTGATAGCGAAGGGGCATACGAATACCAAACGGAGGACTTAGACGAATACGAAAGCGATCACGAAGATAAAAATGAATACAAAGACGAAAAGAGGGTCGAGTAAAAAAAGACGTATGAGAAAACGAATAACAACACGACAACGAGTACGAACACGAATGTGAAGGCGAATACGGAAACGAAAATTGCAATTACAATAACAATTACCATTACCACTATCGTTGCCATTTCCATTACAATTACAATGACCATTACTCTTAACATTAAATTACCATTACCATTACCATTACTATTACAATTACTATTACCATTACCATTACTATTACCATTACCATTACCATGACCATTATCATTACTATTAACATTACATTACCATTACTATAACGATTAACATTACCATTACTATAACCATTACCATTATTACTACTATTACCATTACAATTACTATTACAATCATTTATCGTCAGGTTCCATAGGAGCGGGGAGAGAACCTTGTCTCGCAGTGTGCCTCTTGGCGCATATCTGTTAAAGTTCCTTGAAGGCTTTTTTGATGTAAGTCACAGTTTGACAATATTCACTTATCTATCTTTCGAGTCTGCGTGCTGGCGGTTGAATTACTTGTTACTAGGTTTCAAGCGGAAGACCTTGTTCCCTTCGTTATGAATAAAACGTTCGTCATAGTCCAAGAATTAGCAGTATAGGCCATAGGCCAGGTTAAGAATTGTGGTTAATATATAGAGGACATAAGAAAAAAGGTGCACACTAATGTAATCTAATGTACGATGCATGTCCAAAGCCGAGTTAATAAAAAAATAATCGCTTTACAAAATTTCCCCAAAAATGAAATTAACAAAAGCATTTGTAATTATTTTCTTTGCATCATAAAATTCTTATTACCCTCAAACCACCGTTGCAAATATGTACATACACATAAGTATACACTTATTTTCTTTAACAACAACAAAAAATTCTTCGACATCGTAAAAGTCCAGTTTTTAAAAGCAAAAAACCATCAATAAAAATCTAAATGTATCTCTACGAAGTCTTTTACTTTTTTAGTTACAAAAGAGGAAGTGCCGTCTTGCCGCCGAGTTGTTGCCACACTTCTGTGAATATGCAAAGCAGTGTGTAAAATTTAAAAATTCAGTGATTTTAAATGAGCTAATAAATATTTTTATAGCTGCTGCAAAAATTTATTATTGATAAATTTTTTTTAATTTTATTTTTGTATATTCTGTTTTAGTAAGTGTTTTTCATTTTTGAGGTTTCAATAAACGATAAGCCGCAGCGGCCGTGCTGCCACGAACTCAAATATACATACATACATATGTATATGTTTGTGTGTGTATGCAAATTTGCGTGCAGCAGCACAGTCGCTGAAAACAAAGAAAGTACAGTTTTAAGTTCAGTCCATTTGCGGGAGATGGCAAAAAAAAAACGAACTGAAAAAATTTTACTAAAATCGAAGATGATTTTTTATGCTCTCATTTTTTATTTTTTTTTTAATTTTCAATTTTGACCAATAATAATTTGGTTATCGCTTATTGTTTTTGTTCTCTTTGTTATTGATATTGTGCGTGTACGCGCCCGCAGACGCGCATTGTTTTATGCAAATTACGATGACACAAACACAGGCTATAAGAAGGGCTACGAACGAAATATATTGAAACATTTCGCAACAGTACGCGACGGTAAGCGGTAGCCAGAAACAGAAGGCTACCACGAAGGAAAGTGTAAAATAATATTACTCGTAAATATCTGTGGAAGAGTGTGTGCGCGCATTTCGAGACAAAAGCAATGAATTTCTTTGTGTTGTGCGCTGCCAGCTTGGTGTGCTGCTTTGCGATTGGCGTGCAAGCCGCCTACTATTACGATCGTCCCGATGGACCAGCACAATTTCTCGATGAGGATAAGGGACGTTATGCACGCTGCGCAGGACAGTGCTGTGAGTATTATGAATGCGAATGAGTGGCGATGTGCGAAAAATGTTTCATTACTTCTAATTTTCCACCAAATTCTCCCCTCTTCTTCTAAAAATGGACACCAGATTGCGGCACACCGAATATCAATCGCATCGTTGGCGGCACACAGGTGCGTTCGAACAAATACCCTTGGACGGCGCAGCTGCTTAAGGGCCGTTGGCATCAGCGTCTTTTCTGTGGCGGTTCGCTGATTAATGATCGCTATGTGGTGACGGCGGCGCATTGTGTACACAACAATCGCGATGAGATAACCATACGCCTGCTGCAGTTGGATAGATCGTCGCGCGAGGCCGGCATCACTAGGAAGGTAAGAAATATTTGGCAGATTAATCCAATGAAATACGTTTTTTAGGACAAATTTAAGCCAATGCCAGGAAAAATACACACGTACACATAGCTTAGCGAGGCTAATGGATGCCTGGCACTGATCTAAGCCAAGTTGCAAGGGATTATTTTATACCCTACATATAGCTTAGCAAATTTTTACGGGACATCAGAGTTTTAAAAACGTGAAAAGACCAATTCAAAATCATTCCAAAAATTTTAATATTTCTTAACAAGTTGATGAATCGGATTCTCCTTGATCGCTGCACAGGTCTGTGAGCACAGGTATATACCCCGTGATCCACTCTTCTCAGAATGTGATCACACCTACAACTTCCTACAAACATAGAATGGAGACTGGATTTATGGAATATGTAACCATAATTTGGATTTTGGAATCCACTTCTTCGACTACCTATCCAATCTGCCGAAAAGTTTACGTACAGTCAACAAACCCTGCATCTGTTCACTACAACAACAGTCGCAATAGACGATAGGGTAGAACACTGGCTTGCCGTTTGAGAGATGCCTATTTGAGCTATGTTTCCACAGGCAATTACGTTGATCTCTCCTGAGTTATTTTCGTGAATTATCCCGTTTCTACCAAGGCTAATAGAGAAGAAGGTTAAGCCAAAATTAAAATCATATGTTTAATAATGAAATTGATTCAATTTGGTGGGTTGCCAAAGTCTTTCCAATAAGTTTAAATCATTTTATCCTTAAAACAAGTTAAAATATTGATCTTAAAAGCCATAAACTGATAATGTGTTTATTAAAAATTAATATTAATTTGTATAAAAGATGTTCTGAAGTAGTTTTTCATTTAAAAAGTTTATTTTAAATTTCAAAATATTCCAATTTTAAATTTATTTTTCACTTTGCACAAAAATTTTGTATATCTAGCAACTCTAATATTTAATTCCTTTTTAACGAATGACATGTCGCAGCGGACGCGCATTTTTATAAGAAAAAGTATTATAATAGATCTAGAGATATTTTTCCCACGAGATTCAGTGCGTTTAAGAAGTGGCGGATCCATAAATTTCCAAAAATTGGCATTTAAAAATTCGAAGCGAGCATAGAAAGGGTTTCCGTACAAAACTAAGGAAGTTTACGAGGTTTGCGTGGTTACGTGGCATTTACGCAATTAGATGAATTGCCTTATTTATTAATCGCTCTGAACGAAAAGAAATTATAGAGATCTAAAAGTTTACATTTGTAGAGGATTTGCATTGATCATGAAATGGAAGAGAAAAGAGTAGATATAAAATATGAGGCATAAAAAAATAAAACTCTTTTAGAATATATGTTCTTTATTAAGAGCCTTGTAGAACCCTTACAAGAGCACAGTCTGCGATTCGAGGCTTAAAAACCCTTAAAAACTAATTGTTCTTCACACTTAGAGTTTCTTGTCATCCGCGTCTTTTCGTAATGGGTATAAAAATATTAAAGATGTAAAATTCCAAGCACTCAGTTAACAGAAAAATTATGCGGAAAATATGCCGGAAATTGTAAACGCAGCATTTACTCTTGCAAACAAACAAAAGCACTTACCAGCATATGCCCAAACGAAAGACTTAAGCAAAGAACTTGCAGTACTTACAAAAAGCTTGATCACAATTTATTTGCTACTCCTGCTGCCGTAGGAAACCTTTACTGTAAATAATACTTACTTAACTTTTACACACACATTTTCCATTCACCCCCCCCGCCACAGGTCACTCAAACCATTATGCATCCGCAGTATGATCAAAACAAAATTATAAATGATATTGCGCTGCTGAAACTGGACACGCCAATAACGTTTACCGCTACTATACGTCCAGTTTGCTTACCTGATATCAATCAAAATTTCGACAATAAAGATGTGAGTATAAAAAATTCGACAATTTTTCTAGATAAAATTTAACTAGCAATTTTCCACGCATATTCATTTTTACCTCGCAAAGGCCATCGTCGCTGGTTGGGGCCTGGTTAAGCAGGGTGGTGTCACCTCCAATTACCTGCAAGAAGCCACTGTGCCCATCATTACTAATCAGGAGTGCCGTCAAACGCGCTACCAAAATAAAATTACCGATGTTATGCTATGCGCTGGGCTTGTGAAGACCGGTGGCAAGGATGCTTGCCAAGGTGATAGTGGCGGGCCGCTGATTGTCAACGAGGGCCGTTTCAAGTTGGCTGGTGAGTTTTTATTTGGAAATTTAGTATTGAATAGAAAACTTCATAAAAATTGCGTAATTTATTTCCTTGCAGGTGTGGTCTCATTTGGTTTTGGTTGCGCACAAGCGAATGCACCTGGCGTATATACGCGTATCAGCAAATTTGTCGATTGGGTTAAATCAAATACGCGCGATGGTTGCTATTGTAGTGTTTGAGGGCTTCATAATGATTTTGAGAAAGCTTGTAATGTAACATTTTGGAAAAAAACATAATACATGTAATTTATTTGTGAAAAACGAAAATTTGTTTGTGAAAGTGATGTGTAGTTTGGCCGATCGAATTGATAATTTTATACATTACTTAGATTTATTCCTTTAATATTTCTAACTGTCAAATTCTGACAGTTGGAAGTCTTTTTTTAAGACAATTGAAAGACATCAGGAAAGGCAGTTTGATGGATTTTGCTTATTCTGACACGAAAATCTTATCAAAAATGTTCTCTTGCCAACTTTCATAACGTAAAGCTGTTTAAAATGAAAATTTGGATCACTTTTCTCGCGCTGCTCCAACAGCACTGGCGTGTCATTCGAGAGATCCAAGGTTCGAATAGTCAGTCAGCCGAATTTTATTATCTTTTTTTAACTAAATTTCTATTTTAATTTTCTTTTAATTTTAACATTTTATTATTTTAAATAGAAAAATATTTTTTTAGTATCATGCGTATCTCCTTTTGTTTATAAAATAAATTTTGTTTCTTCTCTAATTTAGTTTTTAGATTTTATTGTTTTAAAACGAATTTACTTTTTTAATTTTATCAAGTTTTTAGAAATTTTATTTTGTTTTTAATTAATTTCCTTTAAATTTTTAAATTTCAGTGTTAAAAAAATATATATATATATTTTAATTCATTTAATTTTTTTTCTTTTAATTTCATTTTCTCTTAAATTTTAGTAAATTTTAGATTCTGTTTTAAAAAGAAATTTTTAGAAACTTATTTATTTTTTCTCTTTTTTATATTATTTTTTTTTTTTTATATATAACTAACTTTTCTTTTAATTTAAAGTTTTTATTATTTTAAAAAGAAAAATATACATTTAAGTTAACTAGTATTGTGAAAAGCTACCTAAATGGTGCTAACGTTTATCGTGTGATCAATGTTTGTTAATATATATTATTTAGTAAATACTCCCTGAGCGTAGTTGTGTTAGATACTAAGAAATTAATACTTAATATTCACAAGACTCACAGGAAATGCTGCACACTTTCCTCGAAATATTCAGTTGACAGATGCGTTAAGTTCTATTACAAGGAATTCCTTTTATTTTTGCAGGTTTGTCTGAAGGTCGGTGCTACCAAATGGTTGTTACTATTTTAAATACATTTTTTATTTGCCTATGAAACAGATCTGTGTTTCTTCGTCTTCGCGCTTTCAAAGTAAAACCAGAGTTCACAAGAGGTCATACTTCGTATAACTCTACCTAGCTGTCAGACTTAATTCGTGCTTTATTTTCCCTTTTGACACTATTAGCAAAGGTGTATAGTCATCAAATTTACCAACAAATTTCGCTTGTATGGTGCCTTTTAGGCATGCTTTTCCAGACTTAGCTAGGGAATTAGTACTGCGATAGGCGTGCGGTTATAAGGGCCCTGATAGCTATGATGGTGCGCTCGAAAACCATCTGGGTCTGACCTCGCTAGCAACCGAATCGCAGTACTTCCTTATCAGCCTCATGTCGGTGCCGAGGCATAGTGACATTATCTGAAACAGTGTGACTGATGACCTCGAAAGGAAAGGCACCCTTGAAACGCTATCAACGGATATGGGCCAGCTAAGGACACCGCTGTCATCCTGCGAACCACTCCTCGCCGATTGGCCTAGGGTGGACTAGGGGTAGTAAAAGGAGCTTCTTGTTAAACCTCAGATCTTGGTATTGGTAGGCATTCTAACAAGCCATTGTTCGACCAGTATTCATGTTGTAAGATTTGTAATCTACCCTAATCCCTTTTGCATCAGCTATCAAGAGGATGATGAGCTGGACACATCTCAGCACTTTCTATTAGACCATCCAGCCTTCGCGAGGCTAATATGACAAAACCTTAGGTCGAACTTCTAAAATAACCTTACGAAGCTCTCGGGAATTGAAATTAGCCGCACTCGTAATTTCGTAATCGGCTCGTGGCGTTTTGTAGAATAAATCAATCTGCGTTAAGCTTTCGTGGTATCACAAAGAACAATCTGCCGCTTATCTGGGGCAACCTCTGTCACCTTACCTAACCTTTCTACAACGCTTCTAGATTGACTGGAGCCCAACTATAATTGGAAAATAGGTTCAGCTTGAAATGCATTACCATAACCTAGCTCTCGTGGCCTCATAGGTGGGTTGTCGCTAGCTTAGTTTTTATTTTGCGTGTTTCTTTTTTTTTTTGATTAGGACTCCATGCTTTTTACTCCAAAGTAAGGGGATTCTTGGAACATCATATTACGCTTTTACGTTTACGCTAAGTTCTCGTAAAAGTTTCTTCTACCAAGCCATTTTGTCTTTCAGCATATTTTTCTGCTTTTGGACATACAATTTTCATACATAACTAAAAGTAATACCTCTTGAACAAGACCATTGTGCTATTTTTAATATCAGCTTTAAAGTTCTTTTCACAACTATCTCAAACTACTTGAATTTCCATTTTCGCGCACATTGTGTCAGTCAAACGTTCTCCAGCGGCTTCCCAAGGGCACTTACACTTTATTTTAATTTCTATTTTATTTATAATTTCCTTTTTTAACTTCACTCTTTTATGGCGGCGCACATCTTGCCAAAGCAATCGACAATGTGTAATCCATTGAGCAGCTGGGATGAATTATTTATTTCTGTGATTTTCGTCGCTGGCAGGCGATTAAGCAAACATTTTTTTTTTTATTTACTTGCTTCGGATCAGAAAACAAAAAATGCATTTTTTTTCACTGAAGCAGTTGACTTTTATGAAAATAAGCGTAAAATTCGCAATAGGCACCAAGGGTCGCCGTTTTGTGGTGGTTTTGTACGCGGTCAGCTGAATGCAGAGCAAACCAAAGCTAAATGCGATATCTTCATAGCAAGATTTATGAGCCCGTAATGCGGTAAAAATAGGCTCACTTCACTCAGTGACGGCACAACGGCAGAGATTAGCCAGCACAATGGATGGATGATGCATTGGATGAGCGAGCAGCGGTGCGCGCACCCGTTCGATCACCGACTAACTCACTGGCTGGCTAGCTGATGATGATCGTTGTCCTGTCGCGCTTTTTCTAGCCCGCGCATGCGCTGATTTTACTAGCGAATTAATTTAAATTCCAACGCATGATTACGCCCTCTTAAAATAAATTTATGAGCATCCTCCAACTATATATGAGTGATGAGGTTAAAGGCAAAGCGCTGATAGAGTGGAAGATATGGCGAGAGAGAGAGAGAGATAGAGCGCGAGAGTATATGATGCAATGAGCGCCATCGGGCGTGCGTACTAAATTTATGAACTAACACAAAAATACGTACGCAACGTAGATACAAAACGTTGTGCTGAATTTATTTCATCTTAATTCAATTTAACAACTTAAACAACCATAAAGTGTTCACATTGTAAATCATGCGCCAGCCAGCAGTAAACATTCGGCCAAAAGCCAAGTTAAACGGGCCTATCTGTACGAACGATCGACAGGCCAACAAGCAAACTGAACTGAAGAGCGGTCTTAACTCGCTAGAGTTATGAATGATGCCGCTGACGAAGTGCCGGTTGAGGTGGCAGTGACAGTGGAAGTGAAGGCGGGCGTAGACGTACGTGTAACTTGTGACTGCTGTCAATGGCGCATGTAAATATGTAGAAGAAGAAGCAGCTGCTGCTCAGACAACACCTTGTCTACGGCGCGCCACTCTTCGTTGCAATTGTATGCAGATTGATGTCGCCGCGTAGTTGTTGCAACTTCACTTGGCTGAAAATGTATTTATTTATTATACGACTATACATGTACCTGTGGTTTTGGTGCGCAAGCGCGCATGCGCATGGCCAATCGCCAAATGGATGGTATGACCGTGTCGTTGCTTTGGCTAGATAAGATTGTCACGCTGCTTTTGATGTGCTAATAAATATAAAGCGCGCTCATTCGTCGGTTTGCTTGGTGCATATTGCAGCCGCTATTTAAAGTAGAGCAAAATTCTACTTTTTCGAAACGAGATGTGGGGCAGCGAAGGCGTTGCTTTGCTTGCTAACCGCAAGGAATTTGCGAAAGCATTATTTAAACTCGAAAGTGGTACTGAGTAAATAGATAGTAGAGTTAATTTTCCACTTTACAATGCCGCAGAGCAAGCGTTTACGGTTTGGTCAGGTAATTGAGGTCATCTTAAAAGAAGATTCGTATTGGTTTAAAATATGTGTTTATATATGTGTACTAACATCGAACACAACTAGGTATTTAGGACGCGAACTTTATAGTGGACTACACTTTTTTAATTCAAGAACGATTTAGCGATGAAAGTATTGGCTATTAAGAGTACACAATAGGATCAGACCAGCGCCTTAGTATTGGCCTGCGGTCTGTGTCGGTGGGATAGCCGCCAAACCCAATCGTTGAAGATGTTTATTATTGAGAACACGTTTAAGTTAAAAACAAATTGTTAATAATTAACAATATTCAAATCTATGAGTTGATTTTCAGGATATGCATCAGCTTCTATATGAGACAGTCTGCCAATTCATTCCACGTGAAAAGCATAAGTATGCCTTTTTACTCGCGGCGCTCCAACAGTAGCAATGGCCGACAGAGCAAAAAAATTGTTTGGTATGTCTGTGGTCCCTGGTTCAAGTCCTGGCGCAGGGAAGATTTTTTTGCTTTTTTTTATTTTTATTTTTTTAATTAATTTATTGTAATTTTTAAATTTAATAAAAAAAAATATTTTTTAAAATTTCTTTTTTTTTGTGGCACAAGCATTTCTTTCCATATGCATGTTTTTTCTGCAATGCAATTAAATTTTCAAAATTTTTATTTGTATTAAAATTTAAATAATTATTTTTACTTACATTGATTTAAATTTAAAAATCTTAACCACCTTCAACAGGCCTCGAACCTGCGATCTCAGAACCAGAACGAGTACCCTTTACGTGGCGTTACAGCCGACATTTGTAAGAAAAATGATTAATTGCATTTTATTTTTGGCTTTGGTAATTCAAACGCAGATTTCGCTGAACGCTTAAGTTCTTCGAAATTGTCGAACTGGTAATCACATAGATACTAGTTAATGAACTAGTATTTTTTCTAACTGGTTTGGCTTTTCACGACAGGGTAGCTGCAACTAGGTAGTAATATGAGTCGATACTGTCCCATTCGATTCTCTAAATTTTGCGTATATTATTTTTTTAAACCCTGATCCCTGATTAAGGAATGGTCATATCTCTGATTAAGCCTGGGGTGAAAGCTGATTATGTTAGGCTCATACACCGCATAATCAGTGACAGAGTTTTCGCAGCGTCCAAAGCAGGGTAAACGGGAGCACCCCAGGGTGGTGTTCTCTCACCCATCTCTGGATTGTGGTCGTAAACGCTCTACTAGGTGGGTTGGGGTGCAGGGGTTGCCTATGCTGATGACGTGGTACTTTTAGGGAGGGGTAAATTTTTGGATACCATCTACGACTTAACTAATAATATCTAGGAGAGGGAGCTAAGAATGCTTCACGTCAGAAGTCTGGAGAGAGGGAAACGACCTGCCCTCATTAGAATCAGTGAGGCACCTCGAAACACTCCCACTCTGGCTTCTAACGTCAAGCTTAATATTCGCCTGTTGATATCGCAGTTAAGGCGGCTGTAGAAAAGGCGGGGATTAGACTTAGAAGCAGTGGTTGCCTGACAGACCCGGAGCCTAGATGCTCCTGTATTCTCGGTGGCTTCGATTTCATTCCGCGCAACATACCTTCTAGAGATGAGGTACATAAATATGTACTCGCAGAGGAAATGAAATTCGTAAAAAAAACGCAATTTTTTCCATTTTTCTAATTATCATCAAATCCACTACACTGTCGATCAGCAATCAACCAAATCTGACTGACACACATCAACAACGATGACTGAGCGAGTGAGTGACTGAGTGAGTAGCGGCGACACTACCAACGGCAACAAGTGAACCAAGTAGTAGCTGCATCGGTAATTGCACAACAATCGAATCGCAAATCGCGCATATCACTTAAACCGATAGCCGCATTCAATCGCCCAGAGTGGAAAATGCCACTTCAAGCAAATGCTACCGCCATGCCAAATGTGCTGCCACTGCCGCTTTGATCAGCGCGCAGCAACCCCTTGGCTCCTCGCCTGATGGCCGACTGACTGCCTATTGCCTATGTATTTGCTGGCAAATGTGGCTTGCGCACCACATTGTTTGCATTTGTAATTTTCACACCTTCCACACTACCGATATGGTCAATAAATGTGCCAAAGTGGCATGTGGCAGCAGCTACTTACTACAGCAGTTTGGTGGCACAGCTTTGAATTGGCATTGTTAGTAGTTGCCATTGCCTTATTGCTGCTGCTGCCATCACTTCCACCACCACGATTGGTTGTGGTGCTTTGCTGTTGGTGTTGCTAGTGCTCTGCCAGCATTTGTTGTCACTGCTCTGCTTTTGATTGCCACTTTGGCACAATCTTACTGTCATTGCTTTCTTATTCGTGTTGTTGTTGCCATTTGCCATGCTTGTTTTTGCGCTTGTAAGGTGCCTTTTCCATTACACTATTGACAGCATGCCGCGACAACGCGTTCGAGTGTTGCTAGTTTGCTGGTCATCAGACGCCGCAGGCCACCGCTTCGACTGGCTGGCTGGCTGCCTGCCTGTTTGGCTGCCAAGTTTAGTGCGCGAAGTCTCGGAACAAACTGCATCTTTCTAATACCAAATCAAGCGTTGCTAGAAAATTAGCAGCACGCCAGTAAGGCGTTACTACACAGACGCGGCAGTGAGAGCAGCGGAAGGCCGAGAAAATAGGAACAGCACACAACTATGTACCAGCGGAACATGCGCTGTCCATCCAGTGTGCTGTGCTGTGGCAAGCAGATGCGCTCGCCAATGCAAAGCGCTACGATTTTGCCAAATGCCAAACTTCTTGGCACCACACGTTCAGGAATTTGTCGTGACTCGATAATGATGGTGTTGTTGCAAGTAGTGCCGTTCAGTTTGGTTTAGATTTTAGAGTAGTTGTAGTTGTTGAATATTTGCCTGTTTACGAAAATGACCAGCTTTGTGGCATCCTTGTCCGCCAATCTTTTGTTTTCATTTTCCCCTCTGTGCCATTTCTAACGCTTGCCAATTGTCGCTGTCTTGCTGCTAGTTACTTACAACTCCTGGCGACTAATGCCCAATTGTTGGTATTAAAATAAATTGATAGTCAACCTCCACCGATTTTTCACTTTTTCTGTAAACAGGCAGCAGCCCTCGTTTGCGTCAGCTCCTTAGCCGCGTGCAGAGTATCTGCTTTTTTTTTTGGTGCGGCAATCGCTTGTTGGCCCTTTTGCTCAGCCGCCTGGCTGTCCGTCAGTTGATTGCCACCAAAGTGTGTGCGTGTGTGTGTGTGTGTGTGTGTGTGCGCAAGCGCGAATTTGGCGCATTTCTTCCCTGCTCACTACTGTCTACTATTTACTACATTTTTATTGTCTGCATTTTTTCCGGCGCAGCGCATTTAGATTTTCCATTTTAGCAAATATTGCCCCTGAGGCCATTTCCCGAGTGTCCTCACGCCCTTGCAATGAAGTAGAATAAAATATTTGCTACGTTGCAACACGCTTCTCTTCTAGTACTTTTGTGCAAAACAATGCGCTAGACAGTTGGCCTTTGTTGTTGCTTCGGACGTTGGTATTCCTGTTGACTTTTGTTTTTGTTTTTTTTTTTTTGTTTTTTTTTTTTACTCACTTCCTCTGCCCAAATTGAATTCAACTACAAATTAGTTTGCGATTTTCGGTTACCCAAATGGAAATGCTATAATGATGCGGAAATTATATATTTAGCAGTCGTAAGGCAAAGTATGCGTTGAGTTTGGAAGTGCAAAAGGTGCTTTCAAACGAATTTATTAGAGTTGATTTTTAAATTGCAGAGACAATCAATAATCCAAAGATTTAAATAAATTATTTCACCGTTATTGGAAATGTCAGGTTGCATACTATATTTTTGGAAGACAACCCAAAGTAAACCGGGGCTCCCCATAGGGTGGAGATCTCTCTCCCTGGAGATCACAAGGAGGTATCTTTGGCAATAAAGTCGTTAGTTTGCTGTTGTAAACCCCGAAATTGGTATTTCTTACGTTTGTGAACTCGCTAACTTGCGGGGTTCTAAGATCTATTTCAAATTCAATGTATCGATGGTCAGAGTTGGACTTTTAATTCAAGATTCTCCATGTTTTCATGTTATAGGCAAGCATTTCCGTAGTCACAACAAACTTATTCTCTGCTCTTTGTTTTAAAAGTCGGCTATGAACTTAAATGTATAACACTAAGTTTATTTTCTAGAATAAAGTCTAGTAGGGACTCACCTCTGTAATTAGTTTCCGTGCTCCCCCACAACGAATTGTGAGCATTCGCGTCACAGGAGACAGCCAGTGGTTTGTTCTTTGAGGCTGCCTCCTACACCAGTGTCCGAACCTGACCTGACGGTATATCCTTATCGTGAGCCATGTAGACAGAAGTCACCCAGAAGCTGGTTTATTCAGCTCAATACTTGCCGCTACCAGTTCACCATTTTGAGTTTAAAGCCCTTCATTCCAAGCCCGCAGATTTTTTTGCCGTGTATCCATGCCTCCTGGGTGAGGGCAACGACAAGTCCACCGGTTGCTAGGCGGATCGCAGGATTCGCACACGCGAGTTTATAATGATGAAGGTTTATCTGGATCAGCTTCATGGGAATACATCTGCTAACATCCACCGTCGTGGCATCCACGTCCGTCTCTTCGATATACTCAGCCTCGGTTTCATCGCGCCAGAGAGTTCCTCTTCCTAAAATAGCGGTCCCTGTAACGTTTGCGAATAAAACAACCGACGTTCATGAGCTCTATTTCAAGACTAACTTTATTAGGTTAAAGCATGTACTGACTACCGTAGATACATAAAATATGCAAAACAGTAATAAAGCATGCAAGTAATACATAAGAGAGAATATTAGGTGTATGTATGTAAGAGAGAATATTAGGTGTATGTATGTACACATATATAGGAGAGCATATTCCACACCTCCCCTTATAAGCATTTTATTCAAATTCATTTTTTTTTTCTTTTGGTATAATTCGGTAATTCATTTTAACAATTCAAATATAGGAAGAAATGGATAGGTTCACTTTCTATGTAGAATATTACATTTCTATTCTTATTTATTTATTTATTTAGTTTTTATTTATTTATTTTTTTTTTTGTATATATATGTGTATATATAAATATATATATATGTGTATATATAAATATATATAA